AAGTTAAACTGGTGAGCAAAAATCAAAACACTCAGTATACGCAACATTAGGGGATTTTTTTTTCTCTTCTCTATTCCTGAAAGATCAATATCCAAATTCCTGCTAGATTTATAAAGTGATCTTTGCTTCTTATAAGGGGCCATGGAATGCATGGATGTTCTGTGACTCAGAAATTTTCTCACTTTGTTCACTTATTTTACTTCTCTCCACCCCAGTACCTTCAACACATGGACACATGGGCACCTACAGGCATATATACGCACACATCCATGCACCAATGCTAGCAACACTATCACCTCATTTTATCCAAACTTCTGTGGTGCTTCTTTTCCCTGACACTTTCCGGAGGGCACAGCACACATTGATGTGCTTCTACACTAGGACTGGTATTCTTCTATATCTAGACTTTCATGCAAATTTACCTTTCTCCTTCTATAGCTCATTTTCTAAAATTGATTTGTATCATCGTCTCTTGATGGATTCCTTCCTTGTTTCATTTGTGTTTGTGGTTTACTGCCCTTTGAGAAGTCTTTATTATCTTTTTAATAGTTTCTTTTTACTATTTTTATTTTTTATCTATGTAATTTTTTTATTGGAGTTCGGTTTGCCAACATATAGTATAACACCAGTGCTTATCTCATCAAGTGCCCACATCAGTGCTCGTTAAACTAGTCTCCCCATTCCCCGGCCCACCACCCCTTCCACTACCACTTGTTCATGTCCCAGAGTTAGGAGTCTCTTATGTTCCGTCATCCTCTCTGATTTTTCCCACTCATTTTCTCTCCTTTCCCCTATACTCCCTTTCCCTACTTTTTATATTCCCCGTATGAGTGAAACCGAATAATGATTGTCCTTCTCCGATTTACTTAAGTCCCTCAACATAATACCCTCCAGTTCCATCCAAATCGGAGCAAATTGTAGGCATTTGTCCTTTCTGATGGCTGAGTAATATTCCATTATATATATAGATCATATCTTCTCTATCCATTCATCTTTTGGTGGACACCGACTCCTCCCACAGTTTGGCTATGTGGACATTGCTGCTGTAACATTGGGGTGCAGGTGTCCTAACATTTCACTGCATCTGTAGCTTTGGGGAAAACCCCCAGCAGTGCAATTGCTGGGTCTTAGGGTAGTTCTATTTTTAACTCTTGAGGAACCTCCACACCTTTTACCAGATGGCTACACCAGTTCACATTCCCACCAACAGTGCAAGAGGGTTCCCCTTTCTCCACATCTTCTCCAACATTTCTGGTTTCCTGTCTTGTTAATTTCCACCATTCTCAATGGGGTGAGGTGGTATCTCACTGTGGTTTTGATTTGTATTTTTCCCTGATGGCAAATGATGCAGAGCATTTCCTCATGTGCTTGTTGGCCATGTGAATGTCTTCTTTGGTAAAATTTCTGTTCATGTCTTTTGCCCATTTCATGATTGGATTCTTTGTTTCTTTGGTATTGGTTTAATAAGTTCTTTACAGAGCTTGGATACTAGCCCTCTATCTGACATGTCATTTGCAAATATCTTCTGCATTCTGTAGGTTGTCTTTAGTTTTGTTGACTGTTTCTTTTGCTGTGCAGAAGCTTTGTATCTTGATGAAGTCCCAATAGTTCATCTTTGCTTTTGTTTCCCTTGCCTTCATACATGTATCTTGCAAGAAGTTGGCCACAGCCAAGTTCAAAAAGGGTGTTTGTTGCCTGTGTTCTCCTCTAGGAGTTTCATGGATTCTTGTCTCACATTTAGATCTTTCATCCATTTTGAGTTGATCTTTGTGCCTGGTGTAAGAGAATGGTCTAGTTTCATTCTTCGCATGCGGCTGTCCAAGATTCCCAGCACCATTTATTGAAGAGACTGTCCTTTTTCCAGTGGATAGTCTTTCCTGTTCTGTTGAATATTAATTGACCATAGAGTTGAGGGCACATTTCTGGGTTCCCTATTCTGTTCCAGTGATCTGTGTGTCTGGTTTTGTGCCAGTACCACACTGTCTTGATGACCACAGCTTTGTAGTACAACTTGAAATCCGGCATTGTGATGCCCCCAGCTCTGGTTTTCTTTTTCAATATTCCCCTGACTATTCGGGGTCTTTTCTGATTCCACACAAATCTTAAGATTATTTGTTCCAACTCTGTGAAGGATGTCCATGCTATTTTGTTTTTTTTTTGTTTGTTTGTTTGTTTTTGTTTTTTTTGTCCATGTTATTTTGATAGGGATTGCATTGAACATGTCAATTGCCCTGGGAAGCATAGACATTTTCATAATATTAATTCCTCCAATCAATGAGCATGGAATATTTTTCCATCTCTTCTGTCTTCCTCCACTTCTTTCCGAAGTGTTTTGTAGTTTTTAGGGTATAGATCCTTTACCTCTTTGGTTAGGTGTATTCGTAGTTATCTTATGCTTTTGGGTGCATAAAGTAAATGGGATTCACTCCTTAATTTCTCTTTCTTCAGTCTCTATGTTAGAATATGAAACTCAAACACGTGGAGGTTAAAGTGCATCCTACTGAAAGATGAATGGGTCAACAAGGAAATTAGAGAAGAATTAAAAAGATTCATGGAAACTAATGAAAATGAAGATGCAACCATTCAAAATCTTTGGTATACAGCAAAAGTGGCCCTAAGTGGGAAATACATCACAATACAAGCATCCCTCAAAAATTTGGAAAAAAACTCAAGTACACAAGCTAACCTCACACCTAAAGGAAGTGGAGAATGAACAGCAAATAAAACCTACACTAAGCAGAAGAAGAGAGATAATAAAGATTCAAACAGAACTCAGTGAAATACAGACCCAAAGACCTGTAGACAGATCAACAAAACCAGGAGTTGGTTCTTTGAAAGAATTAATAAGATAGATAAACCATGAGCCAACCTTATTAAAAAGAAAAAAGACTCAAATTAATAAAGTTATGAATGAAAGAGGAGAAATCACAACCAATAAAAAGGAAACAGAAATGATTTTTTAAATGTATGAGCAGCTATATGCAATAAATTAGGCAATCTAGAAGAAAAGGATGCATTTCGGGAAACCAGAAATTACAAAAGCTGGAACAGGAAGAAATAGGAAATCTGAACAGTCGAATAACCAGCGAGGAAATTGAACCGTCATCAAAACCACACAAGACACAAAAGTCCAGGGTCAGATGCCTTCCCAGGAGAATTCTATCAAACGTTTAAAGAAGAAATAATACCTATTCTACTAAAGCTGTTCCAAAGGATGGAAAACTTCCAAACTCATTTTATGAGGCCAGAATCACCTTGATTTCAAAACCAGACAAAGACCCCACCAAAAAGCAGAATTATACACCAATATCCCTGATGAACACAGATGCAAAAATTCTCAACAAGATACTAGCCAATAGGACCCAACAGTACATTAAGAAAATCATTCACCATGACCAAGTGGGATTTATCCCCAGGATGCAAAGAGGGTTCAACACTCATAAAGCAATCAATGTAATTGATCATATCAACAAGAGAAAAAACAAGAACCATATGGTCCTCCCAATAGATGCAGAGAAAGCATTTGACAAAATACAGCATCCATTCCTGATCCAAACTTTTCACAGGTAGGGATAGAGCAAATATTCCTCAGTATCTTAAAAGCCATCTATGAAAAGCCCACAGCAAATATCATTCTCAATGGGGAAACACTGGGAGCCTTTCCCCTAAGATAAGGAACACGACAGGGATGTCTGCCCTCACCACCGTTATTCAACAGAGTACTACAAGTCCTAGCCTCAGCAATCAGACAACAATAAGAAATAAAAGGCATTCCAATTGGCAAAGAAGAAGTCAAACTCTCTCTCTTTGCAGATGACGTGATACTGTACTTAGAAAACCCAAAAAACTCCACCCCAAGATTGCTAGAACTCATACAGCAATTCGGCTATGTGGCAGGATACAAAATCAATGCACAGAAATCAGTGGCATTTTTAATAGAGTTTTAAACAAATCAATAGATAAGCATTAATCTCCCGTAGATATTTTTAAAGATTTTACTTCAAGTAATCTCATTACCCACCAAGGGACTGGAATTTACAAACCCGAGATTAAGAATTTCAGTTCTATTGACTGAGCCAGCCAGGCACCCTTAGTCTACCATTTTACCCAAATGTCGGAGAAAAATTCTTAATATATATCCTTTGAATTATTTATAGTATATATTTCACATGCATTATGTCCTGGCCAGGACATAAGCCACTTCCTTCATTCTGTTTCTGCTCCCACCTCTTCATTTTGAATATCAGACTATGTCTATTACCTGGTTTCCTACAAAAGAAAGCAGGCAAAGGTCCATGGCCTCTCATTTTCATTGCTTGGGTATATGTGTTCCTCCTGCATTCTGCCCTTACCTTCTTTCTCTACTAAAACCTGGTTTGGGGGACACCTGGGTGGCTCAGTGGTTGAGCATCTGCCTTCGGCTCAGGGCATGATCCCAGGGTCCTGGGATCAAATCCCACATCGGGCTTCCTGTGGGGAGCCTGCTTCTCCCTCTGCTTGTGTCTCTCTGCCTCTTTCTGTGTGTCTCTCATGAATAAATAAAATCATTAAAAACATAAAAATAAAAACAGGACCTGGTTTGGGAGCTCTAGCTCTCCCATCACACTTCCTGCCATACTCTGTGAAACACTGGGCAGCTGTTAACTTCTCAGGCACACTGTGTCTCTGGAAAAGTGTCATAAGGCACAGTGATACCCACCAGAGTGGCCTGAACAACTTGTGAGACTGGACATTCACAACAAGGATGAGCAAGAGACCACTTCATTGTTATGTGATTTTACCTTGAAATTGCTGACCCCCTGACTGAGGAACTCTTGTCATCAAACTATTGTTAATGTCACAAATGAACAGCTGGGTGGGCAGTGCTACTTTGGTTCCTATGCTATAGCTGTTTATATGATTTTTGCATCAACCAGATACTGAGAGACAAACAACCACAGACTGTGCTGGAACCAGAGTGGATCAGTCAGAGAGGCTCAGCATCCAGGCCCCTGCTCTGCTCAGAGTTTGCACCCAGCTCCCCCTGCAGTCCCTATCACTGTGTCACTCAGGGCACAGTAGTACACAGCTGAGTCTGATATTTGCACTGAGCTTTTCTTCAAGTGGAAGGATCTGGATGAACTGTCATAGGTGGCTTCAAAACCTTTGTTGCTTCCCTTTTCCTTGTCTGTCAAGGCTTTCAGGAGGAGCTGTGGACCTTCTCCCAGATACTGAACATACCAGAAAAGGGCAGGGTACCCTGATGCTGAATAATTACAGTTCACTGTCAGGAAAGCCTCTTCTGAAAGGGTCACCTGGCCTCCCATCTGGGTCACTGAGTTTCCGTGGGTTTGTCCTAGGAAAAAAGGAAAGAGATCTGTGTCACCTTGGGCATGAAGCTCTTGGATAAAATTAGTTAAAGGTTTTGCTGACACAATGGAAGAAAAGAATCCAAATTTTAAGAGGCATTGCACTTACCAAGCACTGAGAGTAGGACAATCATGAAACCTGGAGAACACTTCATCTCTGGAGTGACACCCAAATAATCTTCTTTATTCGTAACGTGAGGAAACGCTGGAGTGAGAGAGAAATGATCAGTGGAAGCCCTCCATTCACACAGGAAATGAGTTTGGGCTAGGAAGCTGCACCCCCTGGTGGACAGGGCCTGAAATGGGGACACGTTGGCTAGAGACCCTAAACATGGCAAGAGACACTATCCTACTCTAGATTCCGTTATAAATCACAATCCCTCAGCAGAAGCAACATTAATCGAAGTAGCCAAACTAAGGAATACATCTTGACTATGTCAATTTACAAAATATCAAGTAGTCAGTGTCAGTCAATATGTTTTTTTAAGATTTATTTATTTATTTATTCATGATAGACGAGAGAGAGAGAGAGAGAGAGAGAGAGAGAGGCAGAGACACAGGCAGAGGGAGAAGCAGGCTCCATGCAGGGAGCCCGACGCGGGACTCGATCCCGGGACTCCAGGATCGCGCCCTGAGCCAAAGGCAGGCGCCAAACCTCTGAGCCACCCAGGGATCCCCTCAATATGTTTTTAATATAGGTCACATCTTCCAAATGCTATAAGGACAACGTGGTTTCTTAACTTTCTAACTCTTCTTAACCACTTTATGTATCTCCTGCATCCTAGTAGAAATGCACAGCAAAAACACAAATCATTTGATGTATTCAATGAAATTTTTAAAATATTTCATAAAAATAATTTTTAAGATGCTTAAGCATGTCAATATCCAAAACAAAAATTTCCCACTAAGGTCCTTATGTAAGTACCTCTTTAAAAACATAAAGTAAAGAGAAAGGGGAACCTGGTGGATCTGTGTAAAAGAGTCTGCCTTTGGCTCAGGTCATGATCCCAGGATCCTGGGATCAGTCCCGCATCAGGCTTCTCACAGGAAACCAGCTTCTCCCTCTGCTTATGTGTTGCCCCTCTTTGCATCTCATGAATAAATAAAATCTTTTAAAAAGCCCATAAAGACAAAACCATGGAAAAAGTAAAATAGACCATCATAGTTGAAGAAAAGTTGGCACTAAATTCTGTAAAGAATCACTAGGAGTGATTGATTTGATGATCCATGAAACCAAGCTATGTAAGCCAAGATAGCTGCCTGGTGCAGCCAAATGATCTCTGATGACCAGTTGCTGCAATCCACCAGAGATAACACATCACACTGGGGATGCAACATTAAACTAACACTAGTGGGGAGACTTTCCTAGGATGGCAGACAGTGAGGCTATTCATGCCTTCTGGGACTCAACAAAACCCCAAAATCTGGAAAGATGGATAATGGTCCGGAATACTGTCCCAAGGAAACATTTGAGTATCTCCAAAGGGATCTTCCACAACGCTATACCCTCCATGACCTATGAGTATGGACTGATACGAGTATTTTCTTTTCTACATGGATTGGACCACTCTCCTGTCAGAAAACCACAGCAATCACAAGAGTTAACTATCACCTGGATTCTGTGTTTACTGCCTATGCAATTTCAGTTAGTCCCGAGATAGCAGAACAAATTTCTCTGGGACAGTTAGGTAAGGTTAGCCCTCACACAGAAATTTCATTTCTCCTGTCACACCCCAATCCTCTGGAAAAGTAGAAACAACGAATGGAATATTACACTGAAATGAATAATTATAGCAGTTACCCTTCAACTACTGTGGCCTACGACCACCTTAGCCTTTGTGGCCTGTGTCTTTCCCTTACAAAGTCTGAGGCTGTCTCACTATGAACTGCTCACTGTGGCCCACATAACTCAGAATGTGCCACATCATATGTATTCCAATCTTCGCATATTGAACTAAGTAAGTAAGCTCTTGACACTCTTCCTTTCGTCCTAGACACAGATTGCCTCTGCCCATTCATTTAACCACCTTTACTTGACCTAAACCTTTGGTGCTCTGAACAACCTCAGGAAAAGATTGCCATGAGACTTGCGAATTGACCTTATATCTACATTTTATTACCAGTTAGGTAGATAAAGTACAAGAAATGGATCCTTGGTTACATCAACTAATTGATATCCTACATCCTTTATTGACAAGAATTGAAAAGTTTCTCATATTAGAGATCCTAAACTGAAGTCCTCCAGAAATTCAGCAGAAGTGGGCATTCCACAGGTGAGAGCACATGCAATATCCTAGAAAGAAACATGTAATTGCATGAAGCAGACAGTCCCATCCAAGGCCATTAGAAGAGAATTAATCTAGGTGTTTGGTGCCACTGGTTGCAATATTTTCCTTTGCACTCTTTTGAGGTAATTTTTATCCTTGAGAAATGATTTCCCACTCTAATGGTAAAATGTTAGGTATTTCCGATTACTCTGAATTGTTCTCTCACTAATAAAATAACTTGCATGGGTATGGCCTTTTATTGACACAATACTCACCCTAGTGCTATAGCTCAGCTCTGCACAGACATTGCTAGTGCAACAAAGTTGAACGATTATTAGATATGCTATTTCATATCAACTCCTGCAGAAGCCAGATAATCACCAACCCTAATTGGTAGTGATTAGAGTGAATCTTCATCAATTAAATTACCCTTAAAATGTCAGAAGGTATCTATTGATAACAATTTAGGATGATATCTGTGCAATGAAGCTTGTGTACAGAACATACCTCAGCTTGATTATATGAGTTGATCCAAATTTCAACACCACCTCTGCATTACCAAATGCCAAATATACTTTGTAGAACTGATATAAATCAAGTCTCTCAAGGAATTTAAACACTTGAATAATGAGCCATTCCTATGAAAGTAGCTTCCAATCATCAAGGGTAAGAAACAATGAGACAGAGGTAGAGATCATGCGTGTGCCCTGTGGCATGTGGTTCCTCCCACCAAGACACATAGTTCTCATAACTCTATATGTTGTAGGCTTCCATCAATATGACATTCCTAAAATCACAAAATGAAGAATAAACTATTGTTTGGTTGGGAATATGGAAGCACACGTGTCAAGGCAAAGGAAAGGAACACAGGAGTTTTGGGAGAGCAATGAACCTGGACTGTATATGCTACTCTAATGGTTATAGGACTTATAATATGTATCAAAATTCAAATTCACAGCTCAGTATACCAAAAAGAGTCAATTTTCCATATAATTATTTTGAAATAAAAAATTTAGGGGCATCTGGATGACTCAGTTGGATAAGCTTCTGCCTTTGGCGTGGATCATATCATGAGATCTCTGTTCCAGCCCTGCTCACTCCACTCAGGGGGAGTGTGCTTCTCCCTCTGCACCTCCCCCAGCTCCTGCTCTCTCTCTCCTTCAAAATAAATAAATCTTGACAAAAATAAAGAAGTTTACAAAACAAAAAAAAAAAAAAGAAGAAGAAAACGAAGGAAGAAGCAAAACCACTTTCAATTTAGGTGTTTAAAATTAAGTAATTAATTAATTAAAAAATTTCGACACTGAAATCAAAATGCAAAAGTAGGAATTTTCTACCATCTCTGTCTGCACCCCCCAAAAAACCACTCTTTTCCAGAATTATATGCTAAACTAACATAGTGCCTATGAAAAAGCCCAGCTGAGAAAAACAGTACACTGTGGAACAAAACACATCTAGATTGGACAGATTGACAAGGGCACGAAGAGAAGAAGAAGGTTTCAAGCCAGAACGTGTCTGGATCTGAGCCAGTAGTCACTGCACACTCTGGAAAAAGTACTTTCATTCTTTCACTGAACCAATTCTCACCTACATATTTAAAATATTCAGTACTGAAATAACTGCATCCTCTCTTAATTCTAACTTAAGAAATTAAACCAATAATATAGAGGCATGATTCCCTCTGACTCCACTATCAAGCTTGGGGGAAATGGACCAATCAAGAGTCGCCTTGTTTCTACTGCACAGGAGCTGGTGGTATAAGGAGGGAATGAATCCAGCCTATTGAGGTTTGGGGCTACAGTACTAACCTCCTTTGTTTAGGTGTTTTCCACCAATTTTAATGCATGGACTTTCCCAGTAAGAGCAAGTCAGTTAGCAAATAATTCACAACAATAACTCAGCTAAGAGGTATCACTCTCCATGCAAATGCTAACAATATCCATCGTTAGTTCAGAAAAGTTCGAGGGACCTTGAAAGGAGCCTACTCTTGAGCAGGGGTGGGAGAATGAGGCAATTAAATATCTACACCACTTCTTTCATACCTTTAACTTCTCTACAACACCAGAGAAATAACTTTTTTAAAAAAAGAAGGTTGTGATTAGTAATATTTAATTCAGTCAAACGTGAACAAGTGGCAGAGAGGTTGGTAGTATGTCATCCCTACATGAGCCATTAGTCCAAATGCCTCTGTGCAATCTACTAATAATATTAAAGTGGCTGATACATGCATATAAAAGTTTTCCCATACATCTCAGAAAGAAAGGTTTTCATTATAATGAAAACAAAAAATTCCTAAATCGAGAATAAATTGAATTATCTTCAAACAAGCAGAGTATCATTAAGAGAGACATAAAAAGAAAATAAGAGACATCAAAATAGAAACAATATGTTCTAGGGGATCCTAGGGTGGTTCCGTGGTTTAGTACTTGTGTTCGGTCTAGGGTGTGATCCTGGAGCCCAGGATCCAGTCCCACATCAGGCTCCCCGCATGGAGCCTATTTCTCCTTCTGCCTGTCTCTCTCTCTCTTTTTCTCTCCCTCTGTAATGAATAAATAAATAAAATCTTTTTAAAAAAAGAAGCCGTATGTTCTAAAACAAATATCACATATACACTTTAAGGACTTTTATTTTTCCCCGATAAATTTGTAAACTGACATCAATCATGAAACTTAAATTAAAATTAAGTAGAAGAATTCTTTCTTCCTTCTTTCTTTAACATCTACTAATAATCAGTTATGTGGAAAAGTTTCTCCTAGATACTGCAAATATAGCAGTGATTGAAATACAAAATTCTTTCTCCAAAATACTATGAGAGAGTTATTATGAATAGATACTTAGAGAATTTTGTAAACAAGAATAGGCTTCTGAGTTTTATCTGAGGCTCGCATTGTCAAATCACTCCCTATCTTAATTTCCCTCAAACACACAAACAGTACATATCATCCCTGGCCTATAAGGTAAAATCAGAGACACAATTTCTGAAAAGAAAGTGACCAAAGTACATAGAGATGCTGTCAACTTTTGCCCCAGATACAGAGGAACAAAATTAATACGAAACTGTAATTCATTCAAATGCCTCACAGAGCAATTTTAAAGTACAGGTTAAATGAAAAATAAAAAAAAAAGCAGACATTTGAGGGAAAGAACTGATGAAGTGGGGAATGCTCAAATCAAAACACATAAAGCCAAAAAATCATGAATCTAATTCTAATGAGTATTTGTAGGGACTAAAATGAATGTTAGCATTATTATTGGATAACAGATTTATCGCTTTCACATATCCACTGTCCATATTTCTATCTTTGACACAAATGTTTTAGAATCATAAAAAATTGTAAATGCTACTTTTGAAACACAATAGTTAGTTAATAGGACCTAGGAGTTATTCATAGGAGAGGAGTCTGAATAGCAAAGGTAAAGTCATCTTAAAACCTAAATTTCAAAAGAAAGCATTTCTAAATCATTTCAAGAATCCATTAAACAATAGTCATCCAACAAAATGCTCTAACACTGTCTGGGTCATCTCCATCCTAATATAATATGCTTTTAACGTCTAACATATGAGTTTCCACTTGCAGACAAACAATAGGACAAATGCTGTATTTGATGGTCTGTGCCAAAGGACAGGGGCTGCCCCAGTCACAGGGTTGAGTGGAGGCAGCAGGTGCCTCGGAAGCAGAGTGTGCTCGCTGCACAGAAGTACACAGCTGAGTCTTCAGGCTGGGTGGCTGCGATGTGCAGGAGAGGTGTTGGGCCATCCTATTCAAGAAAACAGTGAGTCTTTGGTCTTCTTTTTCAGCCACAGAGGAACGAATGTCTATCAATCATGAGCTGGGGACCTTTCCCAAATTCTTGCTTATACGAAGGGAAGTAGTCTGAGCCACTGTCTGAATAACTCCAGTTGATGGCAGTGCTGTTTCCATCCTGGACACTCAGGTGAAGGATGTGGCTCCACATTCTCTCCTTGGCTGAACCCTATGCAGAAAGAAAAGGTCAGAGAAAGGAGAGGAGATTCCAGGTTATTATGCTTCAGAAATCTCTTTTTCTACCCTAAATGGAGAAAACCTGAGTAAAACCAGTCTTGACTTCTGAAGAATATCCCCTAATATCATCTATTTCCCATAAATGCTCAACTCACAGTTCATCTACAGCCACCAGAACATAATCAAAGCTCCCATGGATGTCTTCATGCCTCCTCCCAGTTATGATCAGCTTCAGCATCGCAGCCTCATAATCATACCCTATATAGCCCTTTCAGATGGGCTGTTTTTACTGAGTAAAATACATATGAGGTTCCCCTATCTCTTCATGGTTTCATACCTCTTGTCTTTTTAGCATCAACCATATTCCATTTTTTAAATGTACCGCTATTTATTTATTCATTCACCTATTGAAGAACATGCTGCTTACTTCCAAATTTTGGTAAAATAAAACTACTATAAAACACCTGTGTACAAGTCTGTGTACATATAAATTTTCAACCTCTTTGGATAAATACTCAGGAAGGCCACAGCTGATTCACAGGTTAAGGGTTTGTTTAGGGGATGCCTGGCTGGCTCAGGGATTAAGCATCTGACCTTGGTCCAGGGCACAATCCTGGAGTCCCAGGATCGAGTCCCTCATCGGGCTCCCTGCATGGAGCCGTCTTCTTTCTCTGCCTGTGTCTCTGCCTCTCTCTCCCTCTGTGTGTCTCTCATGAATAAATAAATAAAATGTTTAAAACAAAAAAAGACTGTGCTTAGTTGTGTAAGAAACAGCCAAATATCTTTATTGAAATGTCCATGTATACACTTTCCTTTGTAGTAATTTCCCAACAAACTTTACTACACCCCTTGCTGCATACCAAAGCCCCAGAGAGTCCAAAGCAGGCACAGGCACAGCAAGTGGTCCTGCCAACAGTTCACTTCACACACAGCCTGCTGTGACCCAGAACCTGAGCCTGCACGTGTTCCTGCCTGTGTCCTGCTGCCCTATGTATAGCTTCTGCTCAGGCACCTATTCCTCCCACTTCTGGGACTCACTCATTAAAGACAAGTACGAAGATAAAATCATTAGGAATTTCAACACATTAGTATGATTTCACAGCATTCAATGAAGGTCAGGGGTCTTTGGGAGAGTTGCGGGCTCTGTGACTGTCAGGTCACATATTCGAGAAGCTACCTCTGCTCCCAGCTACTGTGAGTCTGTCCATCTACCTCCATCTGATTTTTCAGGGTCCCAGTCCTTCCTACCAATGTCGTGCATGAACATAAAAACCAGCACAGGCTGGAATTCAATTTCTGCTGTAGTTGGACCACATGATAGGTTCAACTTTGAGTTTGGTCTCAGAAGTCTTTGTCTCTTGCTACAACAGAGAAGAGATTCCTCTGCACAGTCTTGGAAGCTTTCTGCTCCCTTTCCCAACCTGGGAATGATGTTACAAAATCATGAGTAATAGATTCATTCAAAACGTGAGGAAGAGCAATGCATTTTCATGGAACAGAATGAAAATCTCCACAAGCTCTTCTCCACAAGGTGCTCTTTAAAAATGCCTTAAAAGGATATACCGTGGTCAGTGATATATGTCCACACATTATATAAATTGATCAGTAGAAGTCATGTAGACATGTGATTCTATAGGGCATTCGAGGACAGGTACTCAGAGGATAAGCTCTCCTGTCACCTCAGGTTATTAACTTAGGAATAAGATGAGCTCAACCAAGTCACTTACACTCTAAAATCTTCCCTTTGCTCATGTATAAAATGAACTACTTCTTTACCAGGGATTATATTACTGAAACAGAAAATATATGTAGTGGGGTAAGTAGAAGTCCTGGACTTCAATAAAAATACGTAATTATATTTCTATTCCCAAGAGTGAAAAGGCTAACAGAGACTTGAAAGAACATCGTACACATTCTCTTCACATTTCCTAGAACACGGACCGCCTACAGGCTAAGTAAGAATCTCGGTATTTCTTTCTATCTGTTGGCGGGTATCTATTTTTTCAAGCCTGTTCTATTTCTATTATTTTACATGTACTTTATATGTAGCGCCCAAAGATCTATTTATCAGGGCATTGGATATGCGCATCTGTGTCATTTGCTTCAAGCTCCTTCATAGAGGTTTTTACCTACAAAGAATTTTCTGGGAAGAAAAAGGGCAAGAAAAGTAAGTGAAACAACAGCACTGATGCACCTAAGTTTAGGAGGAAAAAAGTATTCTAAGAGAAAGCTGAAATTGTAAAACTGCACAGGTTGCTGTGGGGGCAAATGCCCTCCCCAGGGAAGTGCTGGTACTGCAGCCCCAGCGGCAGTTTGGGGGCAGGCTGCAGATCACCAGGGAGCACTGTGCCTGCACCGCACACAGGTAGGTGGCTGAGTCTTCCAGCTGAGAGGCCGTGACGTGGAGGGTGCTGGACTGGTCCTTAGTATTCACTGTGCAGTTTAGCCTTCCGCTCTGCTTCATCCCTGAAGCTATGTAAAACAGCCTGGTGAGGCTGCCGCCCCCGGGATTCTGTCGGAACCACTGGACACTGTTCACTGTGCTAGAGTAATTGCACTTGAGGATACAGCTGGCTCCCTCCTGCAGGCTCAGGGCTGAAGGGCTCTGCTCCACCTTCATCCCTGTTACTACTGCTTGAACGAGAAAAACAAACATAAACGATATCACTGGAGAGCACTGATGCGGCTTTCAATCTCTAAACATCCTAAGAAACACCACTGAGCATATAGGACCCTCTAGCTCAGTGTCAGCTCCCCCCACCACTGTGGCCCTGGACCACTCCCCAGGCCCCATTCTGGATCGCCTCACTCACAGCAAACATGGACCCACAGGAGCCCCAGCAGAGCGTCCCAGTGTCTCTTCATGATTCCTTGTCTAGTCAATGAGGTGCCTTCACCCCTACTCTACAGAGTGTAGAGTCTGGGTCCAGAGAAACTCTGTTCTTACACTCAATCTGTTCCCCTAGAATCACGGGGCACCAATCACACCTCAGTCCCATCATTCACAAAACTCTAGACTCCTCCCACAGTGCCCCAGTGACACTGCACAGTAATGTCTTCAAAAGTGCACTTGCCAACACTGCCGGGGGAGAGGGGCAATATTTCCAGTATAGAAAGATATAAGAGTTCTTTTTCTTTTTATAAACACTTTACAAAAGAAATGTATGGGTTAGTGTGTGAGGAAAGGTGGATGATATTTCTCGAAGTGTCAGCGTCTCTGGGTTATGCAGAACCTTGATAAATCATAGGGAAGAGTGACTCCATTCCCAAAATAGCATCATTGGACAGACAAGGTGAGAATTCAGTTATATAAAAATAGTTGATCATGGTGAACCATCTGATAGTTTGCAGAAATGTCTACAATTTCCTGATATCAAGATAGTTCTAGAAACCAATACAGACATTTCCCATCTGCATAGATAATGATTCCAAACAGAATTTGGTCAGTGAAAAATAAGATGTCTGCATAATGTCCTCTCTAATTTAATTTCCAGCTCTCTTACTCTCCTGTGCAACTGGTGGACACCTGCTCACTTACACAGCTGAGTCTGGCCAAGTCACACATTGCCGGTCAAAGTCAACATTGTCCTCTACCTTTCCTTCCATTTCTGTTCCTTACTTTTTCTCTCTTCTTCTTTTCTACATTCTTGTTGTCTCCACTCTCAGCATGATTGTATGAAGAGGGAGGATATCTGCGGTATTGAAAAAATTTCAATGGCAGTAATTTTGGGGGATTTTATTCATAACCATTGGCAGCTTATAAACATGTTTTCTATTGAGCTTCCATGGTGACATCACAATGCCCAGAAAAATCCTACCCTGTTCTGAGAATAATTACTTGGCTATAGGGTCATGGCCTCGAGATGTCTGAAGTTGAAATGGCAGAGCTGAAAACATGAGATGAACTGACACAGATTCCCTGCCCCACTCCCACCCCCACTCACTTGATTTCTGTTCCCTCCTTAACATTCAACCCTGGACCATCAGAAAGTCTTTGTGTCTTGTACGGCCCGCAGTGCCCCCTAGAGGACTCAGTCAGCAAAGACACCTCAGACCAGGCAATCAGCAGACACAGAGCCCCTGCCCCATTCATTCCAAGCTTCCTGATGAAGAAAACGCAGATGGTCAGAGAAGAACATAACTGCTTAGATTGAATGGGGATTAAAAGTGAACCAAATCTCACTTTTATGTCTTCCTCTATGAGATTTCTATTCATGTTTTTTGCCCATTTCATGATTGGATTGTTTGTTTCTTTGGTGTTGAGTTTAATAAGTTCTTTATAGATTTTGGAAAGTAGCCCTTTATCTGATAGGTCATTTGCAAATACCTTCTCCCATTCTGTAGGTTGTCTTTTAGTTTTGTTGACTGTATCCTTTGCTGTGCAAAAGCTTCTTATCTTGATGAAGTCCCAATAGTTCATTTTTGCTTTTGTTTCTTTTGCTTTCATGGATGTATCTTGCAAGAAGTTACTGTGGCCAAGTTCAAAAAGGGTGTTGCCTGTGTTCTCCTCTAGGATTTTGATGGACTCTTGTCTCACACTTAGATCTTTCATCCATTTTGAGTTTATCTTGGTGTCTGGTGCAAGAGAGTGGTCTAGTTTCATTCTTCTGCCTGTGTATGTCCGATTTTCCCAACACCATTGATTGTAGAGACTGTCTTTCTTCCAGTGGTAGTCTTTCCTCCTTTGTCAAATATTAGTTGACCATAAAGTTCAGGGTCCACTTCTGGGTTCTCTATTCTGTTCCATTGATCTATGTGTCTGTTTTTGTGCCAGTACCACATTGTCTTGATGACCACAGCTTTGTAGTACAACCTGAAATCTGGCATTGTGATGCTCCCAGCTCTGGTTTTCTTTTTTAAAATTTCCCTGGCTATTCGGGGTCTTTTCTGATTCCACACAAATCTTAAAATAATTTGTTCTAACTCTCTGAAGAAAGTCTGTGGTATTTTGATAGGGATTGCATTGAATGTGTCAATTGCCCTGGGTAACATTGACATTTTCACAATATTAATTCTGCCAATCCATGAGCATGGAATATTTTCCATCTCTTTGTGTCTTCCTCAATTTCTTTCAGAAGTGTTCTATAGTTTTTAGGGTATAGATCCTTTATCTCTTTGGTTAGGTTTATTCCTAGGTATCTTCTGCTTTTGGGTGCAATTGTAAATGGGATTGACTCCTTAATTTCTCTTTCTTCAGTCTCATTGTTAGTGTATAGAAATGCCACTGACTTCTGGGCATTGATTTTGTATCCTGCCACACTGAGAAATCTCACAGAGGAAGACATAGACATGGCCAACAAGCACATGAGAAAATGCTCCGCATCACTGGCCATCAGGGAAATACAAATCAAAACCACAATGAGATACCACCTCACACCAGTGAGAATGGGGAAAATTAACAAGGCAGGCAACAGCAAATGTCGGAGAGGATGAGGAGAAAGGGGAACCCTCTTACACTGTTGGTGGGAATGTGAACTGGTGCAGCCACTCTGGAAAACTGTGTGGAGGTTCTTCATAGAGTTAAAAATAGACCTGCCCTACGACCCAGCAATTGCGCTGCTGGGGATTTACCCCAAAGTTACAGATGCATTGAAACGCCGGGACACCTGCACCCCGATGTTTCTAGCCGCAATGTCCACAATAGCCAAACTGTGGAAGGAGCCTCAGTGTCCATCGAAAGATGAATGGGTATAGAAGATGTGGTCTATGTATACAATGGAATATTCCTCAACCATTAGAAACGACAAATACCCACCATTTGCTTCGACGTGAATGAAACTGGAAGGTATTCTGCTGAGTGAAATAAGTCAATCGGAGGACAAACATTGTATGATCTCATTCATTTGGGGAATATAAATAATAGTGAAAGGGAATAAAGGGGAAAGGAGAAAAAATAAGTGGGAAATATCAGAAAGGGAGACAGAATAGGGAAGACTCCTAACTCTGGGAAACAAACTAGGGGTTGGGGAAGGGGATGAGGGCAGGGGGTAGGGGTGACTGGGTGGCGGGTACTTAGGGGGACACTTGACGGGATGAGCACTGGGTGTTATTATGTATGTTGGCAAATTGAACACCAATCAAAAATAAATTTATTATTAAAAAAATAAATAAATAAAATAAACACCAATAAAAAATAAATTTATTATTTAAAAAAATTTTTAAAAAGTGAACCAAATCTTACTTTTAAAATAGAATTGTATGGAAACTGATATCGGAAATTAATTTAGTAAATCTCATCTTGCGCTATTTGATTTCCTTACCTTGATTCAAAAGAAATCCATAAATATTACTGAGCATTTAGTTTCAACACTGTAACTTCCTAGAGGTTCAGAACATATAAAATTGTAATGAAATATTGTTCAACCATATAAAATAATGGAATCTTGCCATTTGTCACAATGTGGTTGGTGGTAGAGAGTATAACGCTGAGGAAATAAGTCAGTCAGAGAAAGACAAAGAACATGTGATTTACTCATGTGGAATTTAAGAAACAAACCAAACAACCAAAGGGAAAATATAAGACAGAAGTGAATCAAGAAACACTCTTTATTAAACAGAACAAACTATGGTTACCAGATGGAGAGATCTGAGGAATGGGTTAAATAGGTGAGAGGATGAAGGAGTGCCCTTGTCCTAATGAGCACCAGGTATAGGTGTAGGGTTAGGTTTAGGATTAGGAGTAGGGGTAGGGGTAGGGTGGGGGTAGGCTTAGGGGTAGGGGTAGATGTAGGGTTAGGGTTAGAGGTATGGGTACTGGTATAGTAGAGGTAGGGTAGAGGTAGCATTAGGAATATGGTTAGGGTTAGCGGTAGGGGTAGGGTTAGAGGTAGGGGTAAAGGTGCAGTTAGGTGTAGTAGTAGTGTTTGGGGTAGCATTAGTGTAAGGTTAGGGTTAGGAGTTGGAGTAGGAGTATGTACGGGTAGTGGTAGGGATAGGTGTAGAGTTAGGGGTAGAATTAGAAGTAGGAGTATGGGTGGGGGTGGGTGGTGGTAGGGTTAGAGTCAGGGGTAAGAGTAGATGTAGTGGTAGGGGTAGGAGTAGTGGTAGGGGTAGGGGTAATAGCGGTAAGAGTAGGGGTAGGGGTAGGGCTAAGTGTAGGAGTTGGGGTAAGGGTAAGAGTAGAAATAGGGATAGGTATAGGCTTAGTAAGGGTAGGGGTAGGACTATAGGTAGGGGTAGGGGAAGGGGTAGCAATAGAAGTAGGATTAGGGGTAGGGGTAGAGTTAAGGTTAAGGGTAGGGGAAGGGGTGGGGTAATGTTAGGGTTAGGGTTAAGGATAGGGTTAGAAGTAGGGTAAGTTGTTAATATGGTTGAGAATGATCCATCAAGAGTCAAGGCTATGAAGAAGGGTGATGGTAGTGGTGGGGAGATGAAGATGATAGTAGTGGAAGAAGTCTTTGTGTCTGTCAGTGAATGGATATAAAAGATGTATATGTGTGTATAAATGGAATATTACTCGTCCTTAAGGAAGGACGAGTAATATTCCATTTGCAACACCATCGATAGACCTAGAGGGTATTGTACTAAGTGAAATAAGTCAGAGAAAAACAAATACTATATGATTTCATTTATGTGTGGAATCTAAAAAATCAAATCAAATGAATGAACAAACAAAAGCAG